GAAGTGAACAATCTAGGACAACATAGCTGAACTGGGAAGTGAGCGGAATTGGAGAATTTTTCCAATTTAGCTATGTTGTCCTAAATTGTTCCCTTCTCCTGCCTTCTCTAAACTCTTCACCCTTTTGCGAATAACCCTGTTAGAGTTTCATAGTTACAAAGTTAGCCTGAAAAAAAGACACAAGTCCATTGAGTTCAACTTATAGAGGAATTTAAAACAAAAACAGAAAACACTCCATAAACAGAACCCTATACCCACAGCTGATCCATAGGCAAAAGAACCCCATATGAAATATGTTATTGGCACATATAGCTTAGGGCAATGGAAAAATGTCTACAAGCGGTAAGACTAGTGATCACTAATTGCACCATATATGCAGTAAGAGGTTTTCAATATTCTTTTTGTATGAGAAGTTCTTGTGGAGTCTGCAATGTGTTGTTGGAACGCTTTGACTTTTCAGGAAGCCCCCCTGCATCGAGTGCCACAACACCCCTCCACATCTTGTTATGAGAGCTTCTTAGGCAGGGCATGAAATAGGTAGGTTCTGATGAAGGGGGTGTGGACTCTGAAACGCGTAAACCCGTGGAACACTTGGGGGCAGAAGACTCTGGTTTAAACATCAACATTTCAGCTCGTCTCTGTTTGTGATTTCGTTCACCCATCGTTGCTATATGCCTGTATTCCACAGTTGTTTTGTAAGTACAGCCCTAGCTGTGTGCCTTCTTTTTATTAAATACTGTTTAACACTATGGAGGCGCTCCTTTTTGTTGTATGTTTTCTAGAGGGCATGAAATCATCCAATTGTCAGTTTCCCTCAGTTAGGAAGTGACCCAATGAGATGCCGCCTAAGTCAACTTCCTCAGGCGGCCTCATTATAGAGATGGCCTTGTCTGCTGGGAATACTAACGGTAGACTGTTTCCATTTAAACTTACAAAGTTGTTATTGAACAGTAAACGTGGTAAAAGCAGCACATACATAATACATAAATGTCTATTTCTGGTGATTCGTGCATTGCTTTGCCTGTGTGTTTTATCTGCAATGTGGAAAACAGTTTAAAAATAACTGCGTAACTACATACTGGCTGATGTGTGAAGTTCAAGCAGGCAGTATTTGCTGAAATATGTGTGCTGCAGATAATCAGGAAACCAATGCGGCATTGTTGTTCACAAATTCAGCTGGTTGCTAAGGTACAAATAATCGAGTGGGCAGTTGAGATAGGGAAAAGCTAATTGGCAGGTTAAGGACAGCATTAGAACCCAATTCCCAATCTGTAACCATCAGACCTCTATTTAACACAAAGCACTCATGAGCCTCTGCTTGGCCAAGCAGGGTGAGGGCTTGTGTAGACCCGTGTTCATTTCAAATGCTACTTTTAGCTTCCAAACACAGCGCTGCTCAAGCACATGTGTGCGGGCGGCAAAAGCTGCAGTGTAGACGCATCTCAGGACCTGCTCTGTGCAATAAACGCAAGGCTAATGCAATCTCAGAATGGTTCACCACTGAAGTAAATTGGAATCTGGTGAGAAAAACAGCTGTTCGTGTGTCAACAAGAGCCTGATTTATTACGAGTTATCTGCCCCAAAACAACCGACCAGCAAAAAAGTCAGACTGTAAAAATATGTTATTTATGAATCCTACTGCTGTTGACTCTCTTGCAGAGCTACACCTGCTGGAAAAACTCCAATAACCAATATTTGGGTGTGTTGGATGCCTGTGTCTGCCTGCTGTGCACTGTAGCTATCCCCTTATCCCAGCCTGTACATCACCAGTGTGTTTCTTCAGCGCTCCAGGAGACCCACTAGTGACATATTGGCTAACGGGAGATCCACAGCGGGGGGACGCAGGCATCTGACACACCCGGAACCCGAATTCTACTGATGGGAATAGCTTTGAAAGAGAGTGAAGATTGGAGAAACAGGAGGTATTAACGTATTGCACCGGGAAGTATTAACGTATTGCTACAGACTGTTTATACCTGTTTTTAATTTTGTGACTCCCTTTAATGTTAGTTGGTCTCTAAAAAATATGATTTTATGGAAACACATTTTAGACACTCTTTAAGTATAACCCCAATGTTGTTTGGGGGGGGGGGGAAAATCCCCATGAATAGCTAAAATTATATGAGAATCGTATCTTCCTGTAATCTAATCTTCCTGTAAAAGACTGTTTTAGACTATTAGGCCTCATTCCCACGAGAAAAGGGCCTTCAAAGGTTTAGCTTGGCCCTACTTTCTACCGCTCACCTTATACTGTACAGTAATTTTCCCTGTTAGACATATAGGGCACACATCATAATAAATGACGTGCAGAGTGGGTGAGCGTAGGGCGGCGTATGGCCACGTACTCCTATAGAGAAGCACAGGGGCTGCGTACTAATCACACGCAGCGCTTGTCCTTCCCGGGAGCTGCCCGATATGGCCGTGCACGCAGCCTGGAGCTATACGTGCCAGACTTTCCTCATGTGAATGAGGCTTAAGTCCTTTATTATGATGGGTGCCCTATATGTCTAACAGGGAGAATTACTGTATAAGGTGAGCGGTAGAGAGTAGGGCCAAGTTAAACCTTTGCAGGAAAAGTTGAGATATGCTTTCATTTTAGCTGGCTGTATCTCTGGATGGTTTGAACATTCACAGGGTTATTCACAAAAAGGTGAAGAGTATGGAGAAGTGAACAATCTAGGACAGGGGTGCCCATTAGGCAGATCGTGATCTACCAGTAGCTCTCAAAGCTGATGCTGGTAGATCACGAAGTGTGTGAATGGCGGCCCCTTTATTCCATTTTGGTATATTTATTTAGCTGTGCACACATGATTACCTATTAGCCTGAGTCTGCTGAGCCAAGCTCCCCGACACCTTTCTGGTGGATACTGGTGGTTGAAGTGCTATGTATTACATCAAAGAATATTAGTTTACACAGACTGTTGCACTGCACTGTTTGCAAAATACAGCAAGGTGACCCAGGAGAGAGAGCAGGGAGAGACAGCCAGGAAAGAGAGAGAGGAGAGAAAGCCAAGAGAGTGAAGAGAGACAGCCATGAGAGAAAATGAGGAATGACAGCCAGGAGAGAGAGAGAGAACGAGGAAAGCCAGCCAGGAGAGAGAGGAGAGACAGCCAGGAGGATGAGCAAGGAGAGACAGCCAGGAGAGCGAGGAGAGACAGCCAGGATAAAGAGAGCGAGGGAGGTTTTTTTTTTTTCGTTGGTAGATCTCATGTAGCTCGTCATTTGAAAAGTAGATCTTAACACAAAAAATTGTGGGCACCCCTGATCTTGGACAACAAAGCTGAACTGGAAAGTGAGCTGAATTGGATCACCCTTTTGTGAATAACCCTGTTAGTTTTTAAGGAGGTGACCTTTGCTTGAATAGCAAACGTGGAATTAATGAATTTATATTTTTTATATCCTTAACCGGAATTATATGTTTTTGACAGGTTCACTTTAAAGCTTCCACATTTGCTGTTTGTTACTAGATTTTAATATTGATATTACAATACCAATAGGTGTGTCCACAAGTTGTAATGGGAAGCACTGATCGACAAGAAAAAATATATTATATATATTGTGTGATTAAGGACAAACAGATGTTTCTCTACACATCATACCCAGGGAAACATCTGTCTATGGGCAGCCTTTGTGTGTCTCTTGTTTTCAGACATTTTATAAGACAGAATGTTACTCTTATTACTCCATTGTAAGCGGACCATGGAATTAGGAAAGTAACATTAAAAACAAGGTTCATCTGCCATCTCTTGACTGAGTCTGCCTCCACTGGGGTTTTAGGGTCTCCATTTCTTCTCCTTCTCTGGTCCCGTTTCCCCCTGCCCTGCGCCTTTACTTCTTACTGTCTGAGCCGGGTGGAACAACCGGGACGCACACAGACTCCAAGGGTAGGTGAGATATTTATATATATATATATCTACCTGTTTACCACACCACGAGATAATGTCAAGTGGTTGTATTAGAAGTTTATTGATGTTTATACTCTTTATACATTTTTCCTTAAATTGTATAGACAACTTCTCTCTTCATCTCCTGAAGAAGCGCTATCTAGCACGAAACGTCGAGAAAATAAAGCTCCTCCATCACTCTTTTTATACTGATCATGTATTGTGTCCATGAATTATCACATCATGCTTTCTAATCATCTAATCATGTTCCATTGTACAAAATCTCTAAATGTTATCTTTCTTTGAATGAACTATAATCAGTGTGGAGGAAGCCTATAGGAGAATCATGTTGTCAACATTTTTTATCCATTCCAATTATTTTTTTATCAAATAAAATCAATATATTTTTTCAACAAAATGTTTGGTTTGTTAAGTTGTCAGTCGGCTGCCCAAAAACCCCAACTTTTCTAATTTTGACATACGAATTTCAGGGGTGTGGCATCCTGAGCTTTGATTCAGGTCATTCTATGCTAAATCAACATAAAAACTGCTTTGGAATGTAGATTGCTTGTTTTAAAGCTGCTTAATGAGTGAGAGTGGGGTGTGAGTGATGGGAGATTGGTGAGCATCGCCTGGAGATAGGCTTTAAGTTGTATCATAACCATGGGACTTTAGCATTCCTATGTCTTTTCCTTTTTTCACCCATGATGAATATATTAGTTACAGGTAGGTACTGGTGGTCAGTATTTCCCACTGGATCTTAATATTTCTCAATTTAATGATAAGATCTCCATGTTGGATGTTCTAACGGTTTTGCTTCCTGATGCCATGACATCCTACTTCTCACAAAAGGGGTAGTTTCAGTTCTTTTGCTGCAATCCCCAAAATGTAAAATAAGTGAAAAAGAGAGAGTGGGTGAGTAATAAGTAATAAGTGGATAAGAGAGTATTCCAGGAAATGTGATCAAACCTGGAAAATAGCTGCCGGTCTCACTGGTCAATTTTGGTTTGACTGACTCTTTAATATGCAATATTTCATAAATCTCTCTACTAGGCCATATTGCATGTTAATATAACTGACCAATATTTTACTGTTCTTTTGTCTCTCTTAGGGTGTCGTCATATTCTTTGGAATGGAAAAGGTCCAAATGTAATATAAATTACTTAAAAACAGATTGCTTTATTATCGCTAATGCAGTTCTGACGGAAGTTTTGGCAGCTCTGCAGATATTTTAAAATGTCAGGATGTAAAGCAGAATCTACTGACTCATCTAAAGAAAAGCTTCAGTATCAAACAAGCAATGACAAAGGACAAAGTGATCCAGTTGGCAAGTACTTCAAAGGTTACTCCTCAATGGTGTTCCTCAAGAGAGGTAAGCACAAAAGAAGACAAAGTCGGAGCAATCTAGTTAACCTTTCTAAGGACTTACAAGGAAGTGAGAAGAAAACCCCCAATGTCGCAGCTAAGAAAGGTGAGGTTCTGGGTTTTGAAGAGGTCTCCAGTGAGTTTACTTGTGACTCTTCCCTTGTGGAGTCCTACCATCTTAATACAACCAAGGAGGCGAAGTTCAGTTTCAGAAAACTAGAAGATGGCACTTTTGCGTTAGAAACCAAAAACTCTAATGAGCCGGAAAAGTCTGAATCTGGACTAATGAAGAGATCTTCAACATCACGGCGTAAGAAGGGCCGTTACTCTCACAAGCCATTGAAAATTTGTTTCAAAAAAAGAAGCAAAGCCCTTAGGAAACCTTCAGATTCACAAGAAGACTACAAAAAGGAAAGTACAAATTTGCCTTGTTCAATAAAACAAGAGGACATTACCTGTGCTGCAGCCAACCAAGACGAAGATTCTGTTCAAATTCAGTCAACAGGCAAGACCTGGGCAACATTTAAAAGACTAGTTACCCGTAGAAAGAAATTAAACTCCTCCTTGAAAAGACCATCCCAACCCAGTGCTCAACAATTTGAAACCAACACAAGTGCTACTTGTATTCAAAGTGTTTCACAAAAAAAAAGGTTCTCCAACCTTAGGATTCCATGCATGAACTTTTCTAGAGGAAAGAGGTCTGCAAATGTAACCCTAACGTCTGAAGACCTTCTCTGTACAATAAATTCATCAGAAAACTGTGCAACAGAATCAGTAGCTGACAGCGAAAGAAGTGATGAAGTTTTGGCAGCTAAATATAGACTTCAAAGATCTCTAGATGTTGAGAATAGGAACAGTGATGGCATCCTTGATACTTGTACTGAAGAATGTCCAATATCTGAAAACAACTTGGACCAAAAAGGGATTAAAACGTGTGAGTTTGATCCCCTAAATAAGCAACATGACCAGGAAATTCAATCTTCTCAAGAAAGAAAAAGTGATTTGCAACAAGATCTCAAATTAAAAGTGAATTCCAAAAGACAATCTCAGTCTCCTGTTGAAGGACAAGAGCTAATGTGTGAAGCGTCTGTAAATGATACACATTTACAAAGCACTGAAGTAGCAAATGGGCCTCTGCTAAATGAAGACATATCCATCCACGAAGATAACATCAGTCATATAACAGAGGTCCAAACAGATGATACAAATACTGATAGTGAAAATGAACTGTCTTTGGTCAATGACATTTCTGATATAGTGGACCCAAAATCTGATATATATGAATTTCTTCTAATAAGAACAGCTGCCTCTCTTGTTAGTAAGGTCATTCAGCAATCCATTCAACAGATAGTCACAGAAGATGCTTTACATAACCATGTCCCATGTAAAGCCTCAGAGAGATTCTATATTTGAAATACAAATAGCATTAAAACTGGGTTGTGGTTTCTGTCTCTTGATCATCTTCTTCTTCAACATAATCATATGCCTATATCACAGATCTGGGATATTCAGTCTGAGCATATGTGGGAACAAATGCAGAAGCATCAGTCACTTTCAGTCACAATTGTGTGTCAAGACGTTCACTAGTAGATCTAAGGATAGAGGAGACTTAATGCAAATGAAAACCCGATAACTAAGATCTTATGTGGGCCTTAATATGGTAATGTAATTTCAAAATTCATTATTGTAAAAAATGCTGCTTTCAGTAATAGAATATATGGTGATCCTGCCCTGAAGGTCTTTGTCCAGGCACTTCTTCTTATGGGGTGACAACTGTTGTCATGCTGTCACATGCATCCCTGGTGGATACTACGTGCAGCCATGCTGACATACACTGCCCAGGCAGGTAGACAGGAAGGGGTTGGAAAAAGGCTGGATAAGATCAGCTTCACTGAAGTACAAAAAAACTAAAGAAAAAACATGGCAATGGTCTATAATACACAATCAGACTTGGTCCAATCTTGGGCTTGTATCACCTTACTTAGCAATGGGCAGTTTAGCGGAACAATAAGGAGGCTCGGCAGATGGCACACATTAAGGCCAAGATCAACTTGTACAGGAGAGCTGAGGTTTACGTACAATGTATTTTCAGCTTTCTACATCTCTGAACGGCCATTTTAATGTGGTTTTGACCTCTTTTTTCATCATATCATCAATTTGAATTTCACAGGTTTATGACAACTTTACCTTAAGTGGTTACTTCACATATGTGTGTATTTTCCTTACCTTTAGAAACAGGTTTAAGTACTTTCCTGACAATAGTTTCCATGATGCAGCTCTCAAGACAGGACGATCTGTCCAACATTTTGTGACTGTCTTAAAGGAACAATCCTATTGAGCCAAAAATCCTATATAATGTCATGATATCTGCATCTGCTGCATTTTTGGTTGGGAGCTCCAGTAGACCTTACAGATCAGCCCCCCCAACAGCTAAGGGTAACTCTATAATAGTTTATAGGGTGACACGGCTGGATGAAAATGCCCTGTGTGATTTATTTATTTTAATCTTTTTCAAGTCCTTTTATAATTTAAGGGAATCTGGAAGACCCAATCGCAGAAGAGTAAGAGCCAAAGTGGTTCTGATCACCAGGAATTGTAATTTAGGGAGGATTTGTACATCTCAAGAGTAAGAGAAATCCTGAAACAAATAGGCAATCAGAAGTTAGATCTGGTCCTGAAAATAATAAAAGGATAACAAATCCCCCCCTCCCAAAAAAAACAAAGAAAGAAAAAAACCTGAAAAAACACTAATGTAGCCACCACAGGTCTGGTAAGCTGTAATATAGTAAGTTTTAGCTTTTGGGTTTAGATACTTTTTCAGCTATAATAACCTACAATTCAAACAAACTATCATCTAATCACTTATAAGCGATTTAAATTATTTTATTATTTACTATGATTTTATTGAATTTTTGTACTGATTGCTGACGTTAAAGAAACCTATTAGATAAGTTGATTTAGTACAGTTTTGTAGGTTGCATCAATATTGTTATGGTTCATATTTCTACAAGAAAGCAAAAAAAAGTCATAGAAATTAGTACATAGTACATAAAATTATAGATGATTCACTCGTAACAAAAGTTTATTATAAAGGTTGTTGAGGGTTTCCACAAAAAAAAGTAGAACTCCAGACAAATATTATAACAGAATCTCAATTTTATGCCCTGCCTGACAGCAAACATCCTCTGTGAGTTCATTGCCAGCTGTAGCAATGGTACTCACTGTTCTGTTTGGTGATCAGAGGTCAAAATGGTTGGCCAACAGTCTACTTCCTTGGTCATCGCCTTGCCACAGCCTACTTGTGATAGAACAACAGATGAAGTCAACACTGTGTCCTATCCGGGGGCATATCCATCGCAAGGCATTTGCCTTGGGTGGCACTTTCCAGGGGGGTGGCGGCCCCCAAGCCATTGAGGCACAGGGCCAAACTGGCCATCGGGCATACTTGGCACTTGCCCAGTAGGCTGAGGTGAGCCGGTCCGCACAGAATGAGGCAGCGGCGGCTCCTGAATCAGACAAATTAGGCGGCCAAACCACGCACAGCCTACTCAAGTGATACAGCGCGTGCCTGCTACTATTTAAACAGGCGCTCGCTGTATCCAGCAACTGACATGTTACCCAAAATAACTTAAACAGGAAGGGGTGGGGCAAATTTAGATTAGGGGGATGCCCGATTTTAGTCTGGCCTAGGGCAGCACAAAACCAAAATACACCACTGGCCCTATGCTCCTGGGAGAAAACTGTGCCATGAGCCATGCAATAAATGTCTCTGCTGGCCCACCTTAGCTGGAGGCCTTGTCAACACCTTAGTTGAAGCCCTGTACATGAGATTAGTAGAAGTTAATATAAAGACAGATTTCAGGTTTGTGTTTTGTTTTTTGTTTTTTTCATCTAGGGTTTAAAGAGAGGGATAAAGAGGGGGGGGGGGGGCGTTTTAAAGAAAAGAAGAGTGTTCATATTTTTAGACCAAGGGTGCATTTACTGAAAACCTCCATTAAGAGAGATGCCTGCTGTTTTAAACATAAATATGCTTTCAATTGGAGCTCCTAACATTAGACCCTCTAATAGTCATTATGGCATAGAAGTATAGCACAGCAAGCTTTTAGGAGAGGTTTATTCATTATGTAGCTTAGAATCTCATTACTTATAAAGTGAAAAGAGAGAAATACGCATTTCTTGAAGGATTAAATAAGCAGGAAAGCTTTGTCTTAATAAGTAACAAGAACAGTACTGAGCCAAAAATAAAGGTGCAGATAGATAATCACGACATGGGAATGTATTACAGCAGCCACGGTTTATATATTTAGCTTCAATCACAAGCAAACACATAATAACATGTCCATCAAAGGATTTACAGCAGTTCTCATTGTTGTCAACTTCCTCCACCATCACTTGACTTGAAACCTTGGAAATATCAATACACAGTATGTGTGTTAAGAGCTGGGAGTTCGGTGCTGGTAGTTTTTGTAATGGGGTTTCTGATGCAAATAGGTGAAAACTCTGCAGCTCCCTTAAAGTGCATATATACCTGATCACTAAAATATAATATAAGCCTTAGCATGTGAAGGCCCATGCACACCTATGTGTTGTAGCAATACGTGAAATGGACAGTAGAAAGGTTGCTGGGAGCCCCATCAAAATTTTGCTATGGGGCCCCATGATCTGTAGTTATGCCCCTGCATCGAATCATCCCGAATAGCGGCAATATGTTAGTTCGCGGGCGCCATTTATTTTTAATTGCACCCAAAAGCACTAAAGCAATGCACCTATGTTGCAGCTGGAGTCATGGCTTACACAGGTCTATACATTGGTCCAGAACTGTCAAAGGGGCGGGATCACAAGCTCCTCTATATGCTACTCTGTACACATGCTCCGTACTAGACTAGACATGTGCATTCAGGTTCAGACGAACTTGCTGAATCACGAAAATTCCGTTAATTCGGCCGTTCATCCGAATCCGAAAAAACGAATTATTCTATGCCCGAATATATGAAAAACTATATTCCGGCATACAGCAATTAATTTTGTACCTCCATTTTGCTGCATCCATGCGTATGACGTCACTCGACATCGGCGTCATGTGACATCATACGCCCCGCCTCCAAGATGGTGGCGCGCATTCACAGAATGCGCCTGTGGTTTCAAAGAAAAGTACATATATGCTGCGAGGGATGAACGGGGTTAATGGAGAAATCACAGGTTTTCTCTATGCTCTCTCTAGTCATGGGCTTATTTTACATGTCTGTGCAGAGGGCAGTGGTGTACACTAACCCTCAGTGTCTAAGTAGTTGTCCACTTACCTACCTACCCATAGAGAGAGAAATCTGTCTTGATTTGGCTCGCCATTATCTATTTCCTTAGCTAAGTTTTTACTTGTGGTTGGAGTAAGACTTTACACAATGCACCACAAAGGTGTAAAAAAAAAAGATATAACCATGTATGTACATAGCTAAAGGAGTCATAGTTACATGTGCTGGTATGTGCACAAACACCTTCTAACATGGTATAGTCTCAGTACTGGGGTGAGGAGTTTTTGTTAAGTTGTTGATTTAGAAATGAAATCCTCTGTGATCTGTCGCAGCGTTCCATAAATGGTGGTATTAAATGTAATTTCACTCTTATGTGTCATTTTAAGGAACAATAGACCTTATACAATATGTTTTGAGGTCTCCTACTTGTCATTAGAACAAAGAACTGCAAGAATATAAACCACCATTCTGGAAGAGTGTAACAAATGGATCAGAAAGGGGTGACTATTGTCATGTAAATGAACCTAGAGAGGAATTTATTTTTCATATTATGCGTAGAGCCTTTTGTAAAGTAGGCATGTTTAAAAAAAATATAAAGAACGTTTGGTCTAGAATTGGCACTTTTCCTTTTTTCTATTTGGACTATTAGATACGTTCACTTCAGCAGCTATTAAGTGCAGCGCTGAGTTTGCATTTTACTCTTGTTAATCAAAAGCAAGTTGACCAAAAAATCTGCCAGGACAGGGCTTGGCCGGTGGGCAGGGGACATTTGCCCACCTTGGGCCAGTAAAAAAGAATATATGCTTGGCTGGTGGCTCTAAGTGGAGACACTTCCCCATTTAGATCTCAATCAGAATCGGACTTGCAGTCAGTGACAGCTTCTGGAATTGATATATTATTTTTACAGGTATTTTATATAGCGCCGACGATTTACACAGCTTTTCATAGTGCACATTCACATCAGTCCGTGCACTCAAGAAAATTACAGTCTAATGGCCCTATCTCACATGTATACATACAGGGCCGATTTACACAGGAGCCAATTAACCCCCCCAGCATGTCTTTGGAGTGTGGGAGGAAACCTAGGCAAGCACAGGGAGAACATACCAGCTCCTTTGCTGATAGTAACTTGGCCAGGATTTGAACCAGGGTCCATAAGTGCTGCAAGGCAGATGTGCTGCCCATGTGCTCCCTGGTCAGACCTGCTG